GGCCATGAATCCCGATGTGGAGTTTTTTGGGCAATCTTTTTGGTTCTATCATGGCATTAAAATCACCAACAATGATCTTGTAGAATGTGTGGTCTTCTTAATAGAACTTCTCCAGCTCAATGTAGAACTTCTCAATTTCTTCTTCATTGTAGTTGGATATTGGTACGTAGAGGAAGAAGATATAAACTGCCGGCAATGAGCCACATCTATTCAAGTGTAAGCATCCAATTCAGGATGTTAAGCATTTGAATGAATCAATGTTCATGGCTAAGTTCGTGTTGACAAGGACACCGACACCACCAACGCCTCTATTGTCACATGTTCTGAGGAAAAGTTCTTCTCTAGTGTCAAAAGTGGCATAATGTGATTGATGCCTTCTTGTCTCCAACAGACCAATGATGTCATACTTGATCTTCTGCACTTGCACCATCAGGTTTTCGATGGATGCTTCCGATGCCAGCGTATGTGCATTGAAAGTACAGACAATCATTTTAGACTATCTTGGTTTTGGCAGCCTAGTTTGGACCTAAGATTTTATCAGCCTTTCATTGTTTGTCCTATTTAAAGCTGCCGTATTGGGTGCTTTTTCAGGTCAGAGGAATGAAGACTATCATTGTTACTGTTTTTGGCATACCAAATACGCGATGAGCAGCTTGCCAGACTGCCGTGCAGATGGGATTCTCTTGGTAGCTTGCCAGGCTCTCCAAGAGGGATGGATGCTTTTAGGGCAGCCTCCAATCACCCTTACAGTTGCTCCTAGTCTACCGAATGCAAGCATTTGGTCGGCTGCTTTGTCTGCATCATAGTTATTATTGTTATGCAGTTTTGTGCCATCTTTAGTTTGGCATGATTGTGGGGTTGTTTTGTCTTAAAGTAACCTGTTTATTTCTTCCTGTAATGATGGTTTTGAGTGTATGAAGTTCCTGAGTTATTGCCTATCTGTGATGTTTTTCATTCCTTAAAATCTGAGAGTCTATCTGTGTAAAGTATTCTTGGTGAGGTGTTGATTTAATTCAGTTTTTTCACTATATCCCACCATGTCTTGGGGCCTGGAGGATTTCATGTGATAAATCTGCTGTCAATCTTAAGGATCTTGCTGCTTTCAATACTTGATCTCTATCTATGGGTTTTGTCATTCTGACTAGGATGTTTATGGAAGTGTTTTCATTTGAATTTCTTTCAACTGGTATCCTTTGGGCCTCCTGAAACTGGGTGCATGCACTCTTCAGCTCTGGAAACCTCTCAGCAATGATGACTTTGACTTCTTCTTCAGTGTTGTCTTTCTGCTCCATTTGGGAACCTGATGATTCTTTTGTTGTTCCTCTTCAATTCATCCCAGAGTTCTTTTTTATCTGATGGTTTACTTTGAGTCTTTTTTCCATCTTTGCTGTTGTAGTGAAACTGACTGATTCTGTTCTCAGCAGTTGTTATTCTGCAACTGAGGCCATCCAGTGACTCTTTTTCAGTTCACCTAACACATTTTTCAGATTTGTCATTTCTGTTTTTATTTTCCTCACATATTCTCTTGTCTTGTATTGGCAGTGTGTATTCCATTTTTTAGCTCCTTATGCAATGTCAACAATTCCTCTGAAAAATTTTTATCAGGGAGGTTTTATACTGGTTGAGTGTCCTGAGATAGCATCTTCTCACACTCAACCTGGTTGGTTTCTGTGTTGCTTTACCATTGTGACTTTTGCTGTTAGAAGCTATTCCTTGTGTGTTGCTATGTGGTTAGCAAGACGTCTTTGTATGTTTAAGGTTAGTTATGAATAGGCCTAGAAGCATAACAAAGGGCAAAATGGCGATCCTGGTGGGCAAAAGGTCTATCTTGAGTAAAATGCAGTGCCCCTGATGTCTGTACTTCTTGAGTTTACTGAAGCTTGGCCCATTTTAGTCTTTTATCAAGCATATTTACATCAGTCATGTTGCTATATGTAGAGTTTTCTAATTTTTACTGCTGATAGTTTATTAATCTTATATAATACAATTTAAACCGTGTATTTTATGAACATTTGGATGATTTAAAAACTAGAACTACTAAAATAGTTACATATATCTTTTAATAAAGGATGGGGACTGGAATTTGTTGTTGTTGTTTTTGTTTGCTTGCTTTGGCTTTTTTGATCACACCCACTGATGCCCAGGGGTTACTCCTGCCTCTGCATTCAGGGATTACTCCTGGCAGTGCTTGGAGGACCATGTGTGATGCTGATGATCAAATCCAGGTCGGCTGCATGCAAGGCAAACACCCTTGGATCATCACTCCAGCAGATAGGCAGATTCTTCTTCAGCAGCATAAGATTAATTGAAAACAACTTTTTCTGTATGGAAACAATAAAATATGGACTTAATAATAAAAAATAAATCTACATCTTAAAGTAAAACATGTAAAACTTAAACTCACGGTCACGGTCCTCCCGTTGTTCATTGATTTGCTCGAGCGGGCCCAGTAACGTCTCCATCATGAGACTTGTTACTGTGTTTGGCATATTGAATACGTCACGGGTAGCTTGCCAGGCTCTGCCGCACGGGCAAGATACTCTCGGTAGCTTGCCAGGCTCTCCGAGAGGGGCGGAGGAATCGAACTCGGGTCGGCCATGTTGGCCGCTTGTAAGGCAAATGCCCTACAGCTGTGCTATCGGTCCAGCCCTTAAAGTAATTGGTCATAATTATCAAGATAAGGTATTGAGAACAGATCCAAGATAGAAAATATAAACTTGATGAATATTTTTCCCTTGGGTATATTTACCCAGTCTAGAAGGAACTACTGAAAGAAATTCAATAGAACATATGACAACTTGTTGTAGTTAAGAATACAGAAATTGGAGTCCAGAGCCCAGGTGAAACATTCTCAAACTTGAGTGTGACTACAATACTAGCATTCCAGGAATAAGGATTAACCATAATTAAATAGACTTTACATAAATTTTTCTGCATATTTGTTTCTAGAAAATATACTTTAAATTAAATGTGCATAAAATCTTTATTAAAGGTATTTTATGACCAAAAACTTTAGGTAATATAATGATATTCTCTTATAGTTTTAATATTTTTATCTCATTTTCTTTTTATAGATTATTTAATACCTCAAACTTAATGCTTCCATGAAGTTTCAACCAATTGCCTGATTCTGATACCATTAGTATTATAAATAATATTTCTGTTGTTTGTAGAGGTTTTAATTTGCTCATTTGTTTTTCTTCAACTTACCTTTCTGAATTCTATTTGTAAATTAAATATTTATATAGGACTAAAGGCTCTCCCGTTGATCATCGATTTGCTCGAGCGGGCCCAGTAACGTCTCCATTGGAGACTTTGTTGTTACTGTGTTTGGCATATCGAATACGTCACGGGAAGCTTGCCAGGCTCTGCCGTGCGGGCGAGATACTCTCGGTAGCTTGCCGGGCTCTCTGAGAGGGGCGGAGGAATTGAACTCGGGTCGGCCATGTTGGTTGCGTGCAAGGCAAACGCCCTACCGCTGTGCTATCGCTCCAGACCATATAGGACTAAATTTGATGTAAAGTTTTCTCCAAATATTCAAGACATCATGCTAGAATTCCCTGTATAATATACTATATCATTCTGCTAAATTTTAAAGCTATATTATTACAAAACTGAAATTTAAGGACTTAAGTTTTACAAACATTCCATCATGAGTAAATAGATCACATTACCAATATTTTTAGAAACATGACTACCAAATTACAGTAGTGAAACATAAATCAAGTTGACTATAAATGAACTTTCATGGATCAATGGACATATAGTAATAGGTGCTGAATAAATATGAGAAATAATACCTTCTAAAAAAGAGAATATGCTGAGTTAGTGATTACTATATACGATAAGCCCAAAACAGTAACAATAACGGGTCTAATTCCCCTGACTCTGAAAGAGCCTCCAATTTGGCAGCATTGGGAAAGACGAGTAAGGAGAGGCTGCTAAAATCTCAGGTCTGGGACAAATGGAGACGTGACCAGTAAATAAATGAACACGGCATGGCAGTGATGCAGTTATATATGGAATGAGGACTGCATGACAATGCATACACAAAATTATGTTAGTCTAAAAATATTATTGAACTTTATTTACCTATTTGTATTTAACAGTAAGACATAGAAATTATCCTAGTTTTATAAGAACCTGGAAAAGGGAACATAAGTGATTAGTACTACTCTGTTGTGAGCTCTGGAGAATGGAAACTAGTATTGGAAGTGATAATTTTCTGAAATGTGCCATGCTAACTATACAACATTATACAATCTGCGGCTGAATGAAAGAAATGCAAGAGGAATACATTAATTAAAGTAAAATCTAGGAATGACCAGCTTAAAAATTACACAAAACAGGATGAAAATGGAAGATACATCACTTTGTATGGCAAAATATTTGATTAAAATAAAACTTAGATTTTATGTATAAACATGAAGATACCTGAAAAGAAAGGAGTACTGAAAGCTGGAATAGAGATTAGAAATAGAGATGAGCAAAGAGTTAAAGGAGAAGAAACAAAACCTAGAAAGAATGTGGGCTCTAGATTTGGCCTCTTCTGATTCTGAAGCTTGAGCACTGGGCTCCAGTGGCTGCTCTGTGTGTGTATGTGTGTGTGTGTGTGTGTGTGTGTGTGTGTGTGTGTGTGTAGGCAGAGAGTGGAGAGGGCAGAGGAGGGGGCTGAAGGAGGGGGGTTGTGTTTGGCAGGAAGGGGAGGCCTTTCCCTAGGCAGGAAGCTGCGCTACAAGCAGAGGGAGGAGACTGCAGCAGCAGGAGCAAAAGCAGCGGCAGCAAAAGCGCAGCAGCAAAAGCAGCAGTAGCTCCCTCATGGGAGCCTAATGTGGCAAAAGGGTTCTACACCTCTAATAGAGAGGCAGGGGTCCCGTGAGCCCACCACAGAGGACACCGCCGCCATCGTCTTCGCCTATCCTGCCGCCTTCTAGACACATTCCTCGCCTAGGGACCATCGACTGTCAGCACTTGCAAGCACCAGCGCCTCCGCAGCCCGCTGATCCTCTGTTCTCACAGACTCAAGACTGAGGCAACAGCAAGGTGTCCAATTTCGGCACGTGAGGCCAGCAATTCAGCGCACTGGACGGACGCCAGGCAGGGCAAGACCTTTGGTGGGCGATTAGACAGAGAAGGGGGAGGGGATGTGCTCCTGGAGGAGAGAGACAGTGAAAGCAGGAGGTGGATGAGGAGGGAGGGGCTGGAGAGGGGAGTGCCGCGGACCATAAGAGGAATGGGTGGCAATGGGAGCAGCCACAAGAAAAATCGAAGGTGCTCAAGGGGTAGCTATGGCGCTAGGTGCCGCCAAGAGAGAGGGAGACAGAGAGAGAGACACACAGAGACAGACAGAGAGGAGAGACAGAGAGAGAGAGAGAGAGAGAGAGAGAGAGAGAGAGAGAGAGAGAACAAATGGGGCCAGTCAGAGGCTTGTGGGCAGCATTCTGGTGTGTTCAAGTAGGAAACAGTGAGTATGTACTGGTGAAGACTGGGCAGGGATAGGTGCTTTGCAAGGGAGCAAGAGTGTGTGCCGGAGGCCAGTGGTTCTGAAGGCAGTGAGCTCTGAACAAGCAGGGGATAGCCTGCTCCTTCCTGCGGGTTTCCTAACCACAGTGAGCACCACTCTTCCAACCTCCCCTCCCCACTACCTAAAGGAACCTAGAGGAGGTAGAGCACTGCAGGCACGCAGCCAGGATTTTCAGCGTCCCTGACAAGCTCGAGGGGAAAATTTAGACGCCAATGTCACAGAAAACACTGTGCCATCAGCTGTTGTGCTATTGCTGTTGAGAGAACTTTGCCTGATGACATAATGAATGTATCTTTTGTCTTCACTCTTTCCCTGAAGGCATGAAGACCCCCCAACAAACCAGGGCAGGTGCTGGTCAGGCTACTGGTTCTGCAAGCATGACCAAGAAAAAAGCCTCCCAAAAGAAGCAGAGAGGTAGACCTTCATCTCAGCCTCGAAGGAACATCGTGGGCTGCAGGATTTCACACGGATGGAAGGAAGGGGATGAACCCATCACTCAGTGGAAAGGAACTGTGCTGGATCAGGTGCCTATAAACCCCTCTCTTTATCTGGTGAAATATGATGGAATTGACTGTGTCTATGGATTGGAACTCCACAGAGATGAACGAGTTTTGTCTCTTAAAATTCTTTCCAACAGGGTGGCATCATCTCAAGTTAGTGATGCAAACCTTGCAAATACCATAATTGGTAAAGCCGTGGAACATATGTTTGAGGGCGAGCATGGTTCTAAGGATGAATGGAGGGGGATGGTCTTAGCCCAAGCACCTATCATGAAGGCCTGGTTTTATATCACCTACGAGAAAGATCCTGTACTGTACATGTACCAACTTCTAGATGATTATAAAGAAGGAGACCTCCGTATCATGCCAGAGTCCAGTGAGTCTCCTCCAGCAGAGAGGGAGCCAGGAGGAGTTGTAGATGGCCTGATAGGTAAACACGTGGAATATACCAAAGAAGATGGCTCCAGACGGATTGGCATGGTCATTCACCAAGTGGAAGCCAAGCCTTCTGTGTATTTCATCAAGTTTGATGATGATTTTCATATCTATGTCTATGATTTGGTGAAAAAGTCCTAACTGCTAATGTAAACTTTGCCACGTTTGTAGAAGGAAATGTATAATTTGTAGACATGGAAAATAATGATGCTTTTCAGTGTATTGAAAGCTTAAGGGTCCCTGTTAACCCAACATATTTACCAGCATGATTGTTTTGTTCTGAAAAATATATACAAATTGATGTGGCTGTGACATGCTGTGTGTAAGGACTTTGTCATGTTGAAAATATTGGGCACATTTGATGGATGGGGCATGAAAGGAAGAACTGTAAATACAGGCTGTGATATAAAGACCAGCTTTATATCACATTCTTAGCCACCTAAAATGAAATAGGACTTAGCCGGTCCATTCTAGGGAGGAGGGGAGGGTGACTGTTTAGACAGGTAGGAGATGCCAAAAGTAGAGATGCTCCCTGCAGCAGCAGTGGTTGGGGGCGGGGAGAACCTAAGAAGAGGAGACACCAATATGGAAGTGGGTAGAGATTACAGGGAGAGCAAAAGCTTGATGTTTTGAGGAAAACTGAACAAACTTGAGTAGAGAGGGGCACAAAGAGCCGTAGCAGAGGACTCAGTAACAGGGAGATAGAGTTGAGAAGGACCTGGAAAAAGGCTAAAGGAGGATCTGGCGTGAGGGAGGGGCTGGAAGGGAGGAAAACACCGAGGAAGGAAGAATTATAAGAAGGAAGTTTCACAAAAAGTGGAATACAGAAACAGTTATGAGGAGTGGAACCTATGAGAGATTGGAATACCCAGGAAATAGCTGGAGTTCTGGCATTCAATTCTGATGGAAATTAAAGAGATTGGTTTCAGGCCAGAAGGTGTTTTGGTTCTAGAAGCTGTGATTTTATATAATAACCAATTCCTTCCACCGTCCAGTGCTGCATAGACGGGTGTTTTCAGTGGGGAGATGAGTGTGGTTAAACCCAGTTAAGTCTCTCAGAAGAATGGCATCCCAGCACATCTTTGTCCTTCTCTTCCTTCATCCCTTGCCTTTCCAGTTTTGCTGTGGATCTTCCATTCAAATCCTTCTCTCTCATTTCCTTACCCCATCCTTCACCAAAAGACTCCTGCCCTCAAAGAATGAGAAATGGTATCTCCCCAGTTTCCCAGGTTTCCTTAATTCCATGCCATAGCAGGAGAGGACGAGAGCAAGGAGCTTCCAGCAGTTAAAAGCAGGTGGTTATTCCAGTTCATTTTTGCCATCCAACATGACCTGTCTTTGTTTGTCCCAAGAGTTAAGTAAGCCAAGCCTACCTCTCTGTAAGCAGAGATTAGTTTCCATTCCCCACCCTCTGGAAGATGTTATTATTGAATCATATGAGATAGACCCTTACAAAGCTGTTTATGACTAGATTTCAGTCAAACAGTGTTCCCATCCCTCCACCATCCCTCCATCAGTGTACATTTTCCAAGCACCACTGTTCTCAGCTTCTCTCCCATCACCCTACCCCACCCCCATTCTGCCTCTATGGCAGGCACTACTCTTTTCTCTTTCTTTCTTTCTTTCTTTCTTAAAATTTTATTGAATCACCGTGAGATATTTATAAAGTTTCATGTTTGGGTTACAATCACACAATGATCAAACACCCATTGCTCCACCAGTGCACATCCCCTAATATCCCCAATATGTCCCCCCCTACTTTCCCCATCCTCCCCCTACCTCCCTGGCAAACAATATTCCCCATACTCTCGCTCTACTTTCAGGCATTATGTTTTGGAATACAGATACTGAGAGATTATCAGGTTTGGTCCATTATCTACTTTGAGCACACATCTTCCATACCGATTGATTCCTCCAGCCATCATTTTCTTAGTGATTCCTTCTATATTCCAGCTGCCTTCTCCCTTCCACTCATGAGGCAGGCTTACAGCTACGAAGCAATCTTCCTGGCCATTGTATCTACTGTGCTTGGGTGTCAGCTTCATGTTATGTTGTTTTATACTCCACAAATGAGTAACACTCAATTATTGTCCAGAGTGATCATTTCCAGCTCTTATTGTCATACTGCACCCTTCTCTGTTTTACCTCTCTCCACCTCACACACACTTGTGATAGATTCCAACCACTGACCAGTCCTCCTATGCTTTGTTTTCCCTGGCATTTTATATCAGTCTGCTACTACATATTTTTATATACCACAAACGATTGCAGTCATTCTATATCTGCCCTCTTCTCTGACTCCTTTCAGACTTTGCACAGTTTGGTGCAATACACACCTGGACCAAGATCAGTCAGCCATTTTTTGTTTGTTTGTTTGCTGTTTGTCCTTTTAACAAATCTTTTGTACATTTTAGCTAGCTTCTTAGACACTTGGGATCTTTTGTGTAGAAAAAAATCACGTTTCTTGTTTTTCTTAAAGCAGCAAAAATAAACAATTATGGTTCACACTCCAATAAGAGCACAAGAAGCTGAATATGAGGAAAAGCTCATACCAGTGTAGACTCAGAATGCTATTAGAAGTAGACCAACACCCAACACCCTCCACCTTCAACCCAAGGAGGAGAAGTGTTGTCAAAGAGTAGCACATCCAAGGAGGCAGGCAGAAAGAATTATTTCTGTCATACTTGAGGAGTACTGAGAATACCATCTTGTCTGGACTTAGTGAGCAAGCTAGAGAATATCAGGAAATGAGTTTAAAAGGGTGATGGGAATATGAGAGAGGCAGGCAGCTTAGAGTTTCGCAATTTGAACATCCAGAATGGCATTTTTTTTACACTGTGGTAGTGCCAGCAGAAACTCAACGGGAATTGTCCTATATGTTAACACTATCACTCCAGTGACTCTGAAGAATTATCTCTCTGAGATTCAAGAAATAAATAATGGTGGTTAAATATATTAATTTAATAGGTGCCTGAACAGACTTTTTTACATTTGAAACTGGAAGAATATAATACGTGCCCTTTGGGGTAAAGAATAAGTACACATTGTATTGTGCTGGACATACTAGTTTTCTAAATAACAAAATATATTCTTAAATGCTTCCACCGTAAGTACATATAAAATTATGTCATACTAAATTTTTTTGTAAATATATTTTGAAGTAATAAAACATTTTTCAGTTTTGTTAATTGTCAAATTCTTCAGTATCAATTTTTTTCATGGCAAAGAATATCATTTTATCGAAATATCCTTTGTTCACTTGATTATATAGAAATATTTTACTTTTTGTTAAAATCCTCCATAAAAATCCATTTCCATAAAAAAAAGTTCACACAGCTGCTGCTGCTGCCCCCACAACTGCTTCTGCTTGGAAGCCATATCTTCTACCTTTATTGCCTGGAACTATGCCATTTCCAGAGTTATATGTATTTGAATCTGTAGAGTGTTTGCTCTAGGTACTCGCAGCCACAACTGCTGCCTTTGCTGCTCTATACACATGGATTGTGTCATGCTGAGTTAAATGAGTCAGAAGAGGAACAGGTATACAATGACTTCATTCATTTGTGGGATATAAAATATACATATAGTATGAGACAAATATCCTTGACTAGGGAATACAGGTAACAGGAGGACTGGTCAGTGGTTGTAAGCTTGCAACAAGAGTGTTTTGGTGGAGGGGGGCGGCAAGGGGTAGTTAGGATAGAGAGAAATCAGTATGACAATAGTATTTGGAAATGATCATTTTGGACAGGAGCTGTGTTGAAAGTAGGTAAAGGCATACACCTGATAACGTTTCAGTATTTGTATTGCAAACCTTAAGGCCCAAAAAGAAAGAGAGAGAGAGAGAGAGAGAGAGAGAGAGAGAGAGAGAGAGAGAGAGAGAAGGAGAGGAGAGAGAGGGAGTGGGGGAGAGAGAGGAGGGAGGGGGAAGAGAGAAGGGATGACATAGATGCAGGAAAGGGTGGGGGTGGCAGGAAGGAAACTGGGGATATTGGTGTTTCAAATGTACACTGGTGAAGGGACAGGTGTTGGAACATTATGTGACTGAAACTCAATCGTGAACAACTTTGTAATGGTGTATGTCACTGTTGTCAATAAAAATCTTAAAATATTGACAAAAAATAATTTGATAATATGTTTTTCATGATGGGATTAAATTAAAATTCTTCAGGAAATAACTTATAGATTACTTGGTAAAAGACACACGAACATTTACAAAGTAATAGCCACATGTTTATTAAATGTGCTTCATTTTAATCTGCTTTCTATTGTTTTACATTTTTCATAAGATATTATTTTAATCTGCTGCACAATTTACTTAATTGATACTTTTATGCTTTTACATTTGTTGCAAATGTAAAAACTTTTTTGTTTGATATTTTCTATCCTCCTCCCAACTTGTCTCTAATACACTTTGAGTATTATCCCTTTTACAACGGTCTTTTTGGTAAATGTTTATTTTCTACGTGGAACTCAAAAGTGTTAGAATAAATGTAATTAATTGTCATATTTTTACATGCATAAAACCATTTTTATGTACCAGTTTTTAAAATATTCATGATAAATCATATAAGCAATTTGGGATACACTTTTGTTAGGACAAAAGTTAGAGATAAAGTTGAAAAAGAAAATGCTTCTTCTTGCTTTTTACCTTATATTGTAGAAAGACAAGTCTATGTGGGTTTCAAGTTTCTGTATATTTTTTACTCAATGCAAATAAGTTTTTTGCTTCCACTCTTCTTAGAGGGATGTTCAAATATCTTTGTAAGATGTTGTGGTCTTTCTTCTGGAACAGTGAGAAGCAATTCTAACTGAAGTATAATAAAATAATATCTTTTTATAGAGAAAATGGAAACCATGTTTCCTCATCATTATAATTTATTGTGTTCATGAGCCTAGAATTTCATTTTTTAATACAAACTACTGTCATTTTATTTTATTTTATTTTTTATTTTTTTAAATTTTTTTATTATTATTAGTGAAACACCATGAGGTACAGTTGTAGATTTACAATTTTTTGTGCTTGGGTTTAGATTATACAATGATCAAAAACACATCCCTCCACCAGTGCCCATTTTCCACCACCATGGATAATATCCCTCCCACCCCCATCCCTCCCATTCCACCCTGCCTCTGTGGCAGGGCGATCCATTGTGTTCTCTCTCCTTTTGGGTGTTGTGGTCTGCAAAAGAGGCTTTGAGTGGCAAACATGTTCAGTCCATAGTCTACTTTCAACATGCATCTCCCCTCCTGGGAGGATCCTCCAAACATCCTTTATTTGGTGCTCCCTTCTCTATCTGAGCTGCCCTTTCCTCTAGAATGCCTGTCTG